GTTCATTTGTGTAAGTATAATTATAACAATTTTTAAAACTTTCAAAATCCATAACTGCTATACGTGTTTTAAAGTTGTTCTGTACATGATAGAAGTATAAGTGGACGCATGCTCACTATATAAAATGCGTTTAACGCTGAAATAAATCAGAGAGTTTAATGCATTCAACTTAAAAATAAAGCTATAATCAACAAATTAAAGTGAGTTTTATTCATGCTTATTCTCGCTGTCTAGCAACGAAAGACTAAATTAACAAATGTATGCTGTAAACAAATTAAAAGGACTGAAGACTTTGTTCAAGCAGAATAAGGTGCGACATCTATACCTCAAATAATGGACTCTAAGGGGCGGATATTACCCCGTATAATGGTCATATCTAAGGGATGGTAAACATATATAACATAAAACACTGGACATTGGTATAAACTTTGTTCGACATAACGGTCATAAACAGTTCCACAGACTAAACAATTTTTTTTTAAATAATATATTTTAAAAGAAGGAAAATATGAACAAAATTTATATGTTAAAATAAAGTTATTTTATATTTAAAAGACCAAACCTTTGAAATCTCTAGCTCAGAAAGTAGTTATATTATTGGTTTTAGATAGTTTAATGTTCATTTTTGTTTTCTGTTGTTGTTGAGTTTTTTGTTGTTGTTTTTTAATACTATTTTCATTAAAAAAATGTATTTGTTTGTCTTTTATTCTGTATGACACATTTAAAATTCTGCAGTTTTAGACTTTGTCAGGGAACATCTGCAGTCCTCAGCTGACTCGCTTGAAGGTCCACCACCATCTTCCTATATATAGCCTCTCTTCATGTCAGGTTCAATATCGAGCTGGGTGGCTTCAGGTGTCAGACCACACCTTCTTCTCAATGTGTTGCCGTAAGTCCAGATCCATTTTGTACAGACTGAAACAAGGAAATATATTTTCTCCGTTTATTGTCAGCTATTATCTTAAATCTTTATACTTTTATCATCAACTTCAGCTCTGGTCTCTCAGCCTCCTACAACTTTACTGAATGGTTTAATTCAGTTAAATATAGAAGAGCGATGCATTATACAATCTGAAATGGAATCAACTGTAATACAATTGAAATTTGTTCAAAACTACATAGTGTATGGACTTACTCCATTTATGTCCGAAGACAACTGGACATCCACCATGATAGGTCAACTGATCCTCATCCTCATATTGTGGAGAAAAGTTATACCACAACAGTGCCATGTTCTGTTAGCGTCAAGAAGAAAACAAGTTAATTAAAAAGTCTAGTGACATTTATGCGCAATTTCCTTATGTTATCTAAAAATAGCTCTGACGTATAATGCTGGGGTGCGTTCAAACTTGGAGAACGATCGGTTTGTAGGTGTTTACGTAATTTTAAAATTTGTGACCGAACGAAAGGATATTTTTGAAAACTTTCTTCGGCAATATTGTTCTAAATTATGACACAAATCGATTGGTAAATGTTTCAAGTCGCTACGTGGTCTGGTTGCCGAGATATGGGTCAAAAACTGCATTTTTTTTTCGAGGTTTTTTGGCTTTTCCAGGAAATCCAGGAAGGAATTCCGGGAATTTTTTTGGCCCACAATCATCCTCGGAACTTGCTTAACATTTTTGCTTTTGGAACTAGTCCTCGATATTGCTTCGTTGAGGAGGAGATACGACTTAAAGCTGCGGACATCCATCCATCCATCCATCCATCCATACAGAAATGACGGGTTAATAAACGCAATTCTCCAGAATGGAAATTGCGCTAAAAAATATTCGGGTAAACATTGACTTTATGTGAGGTGCATACAAATGTTAGGTACACGAAACTACCTTGACTGGTGCTACTGCTATCCCAGCTCTAGTGAAGACAGTAGATCCGCCTCGCTGGACGTCGGTCAGCTACGATACAAGCAAAACATCTATATTAAGTAATTTGGCGAACTTTTAAAACAAAAACTTGTATAAACCCGTAATCTGCATTCACACATTCTACGGGGAGTTAGTAAAAACAAATAACGCAATGCGAAATTTCGCACACAGAAAAAGCGCCAATACACTCAAAAAATAGCGCAGAAGAAAAATTGTACATAAAGCTTGAGTATTAAGGACTATCACAAGCAAGTTTTTATGTCTTGGTCTAAAACCTGAGGTGGGTCAATTGGGGGAACATTTGTTTTGATAATTGTTGACGTACTGTTGTACGGTACATAGCACCAAAGCTAACTACTAATTTTACTTACGTAAATAAGAATTGTTTTGATAATTGTTGACGTACTAACGTGCCGTACAAAACACCAAAGCTAACTATTGATTTTACTTACGTAAATAAGAAACGTGGCCAGTCTATTTCCAGAGCGTTTCAACCAATCAGTTGCTTCCTAAATATAGACATAAGGCTTTTAAATAGTGGGAGTGTTGTCATAAATTGTAACTTCTATATTGGGCAGTGATATTGTAGACGTACAATGCAAATGCTCTATCAACCATCACAAGAATGATTTATGTAGGGCGATACCGACCTGCACTGGGTCTAAGTGTGGAACGTAAAGTCCACCTAGTCCATAGTTGACTACCTGTTTTGTGAGCAGATATTGAACTAATTTACTATGTTTAAAATATAGTAGAGATGTTAACCGATCAATCATGTTATGTCAATTTATATTTTTCAACTATTATATTTAAATATATTTGCGTAAACTGATTAGTGAATTCAGATTCATACGAAAAAATGATGTTGAATTTCTATCAGAATTTCCACTAAAACATTATATCCAACCTGTTTTAGCCACAACCTTAAATCAAAACCTTAACATAAACATTTATTAACGGGGTAGTCTCCAAAAAAATTAAGCTCTTAATTAAATCAAAACTTGGTATGAGGATATACCATTAAAATTAGTGCTTATTTATTGCCCTAACTTAGGTACACAAATAATGTGTTTTAAAAGTCTTGTTAATTCATTTGAAACAATTTCAGCCGTTTTTTTTTCCGGAGCCTGCACATAAAGCCTTGACTATGAGTGAGCTGTTATAACCGGAACATGGGCTGGAACTCACCTGTAATAGTTCCGCAGACGTAGGACCGTACGGTTCTCTCATTGACGTGTCCAGACCTGTGATGTGTCCAATTCTCTTGGAGATGGATGATACCATTTCTGACTCTTCGTCAGCAATCCATGCCCTGGTCATGTGACAGTATCAAATATAAGCAAGCTGTGCTCGTAATATCTCAGTTTCTGATAAAGATACACCTTAGTTTTATCTTGATATTAACAATCAATTCTCAAACGAGCAGCAATTTTCTAGAAATCTTCTTGGCTACGTAAGATATTCTGCTCAAACGTCTGATAAAGGTCACTTGTCCTAATATCTGGTACTTACAGGTCACTTGTCCTAATATCTGGTACTTACAGGTCACTTGTCCTAATATCTGGTACTTACAGGTCACTTGTCCTAATATCTGGTCCTAATATCTGGTACTTACAGGTCACTTGTCCTAATATCTGGTACTTACAGGTCACTTGTCCTAATATCTGGTCCTAATATCAGGTACTTACAGGTCACTTGTCCTAATATCTGGTACTTACAGGTCACTTTTCCTAATATCTCGTACTTACAGGTCACTTGTCCTAATATCTGGTTCTTACAGGTCACTTGTCCTAATATCTGGTCCTAATATCTGGTACTTACAGGTCACTTGTCCTAATATCTGGTACTTACAGGTCACTTGTCCTAATATCTGGTTCTTACAGGTCACTTGTCCTAATATCTGGTCCTAATATCTGGTACTTACAGGTCACTTGTCCTAATATCTCGTACTTACAGGTCACTTGTCCTAATATATGGTTCTTACAGGTCACTTGTCCTAATATCTGGTCCTAATATCTGGTACTTACAGGTCACTTGTCCTAATATCTGGTACTTACAGGTCACTTGTCCTAATATCTGGTACTTACAGGTCACTTGTCCTAATATCTGGTTCTTACAAGTCACTTGTCCTAATATCTGGTACTTACAGGTCACTTGTCCTAATATCTGGTTCTTACAGGTCACTTGTCCTAATATCTGGTCCTAATATCTGGTACTTACAGGTCACTTGTCCTAATATCTGGTACTTACAGTTCACTTGTCCTAATATCTGGTACTTACAGGTCACTTGTCTAAATATCTGGTACAGGTCACTTTTCCTAACATCTGGTACTTACAGGTCACTTGTCCTAATATCTGGTACTTACAGGTCACTGGTCCTTATATCTGGTCCTAATATCTGGTACTTACAGGTCACTTGTCCTAATATCTGGTACTTATAGGTCACTTGTCCTAATATCTGGTACTTACAGGTCACTTGTCCTAATATCTGGTACTTACAGGTCACTTGTCCTAATATCTGGTACTTACAGGTCACTTGTCCTAATATCTGGTACTTACAGGTCACTTGTCCTAATATCTGGTACTTATAGGTCACTTGTCCTAATATCTGGTACTTACAGGTCACTTGTCCTAATATCTGGTACTTACAGGTCACTTGTCCTAATATCTGGTACAGGTCACTTGTCCTAATATCTGGTACTTACAGGTCACTTGTCCTAAGTTCTTCTGATGATTCACTGTATGTTAGCGCAGTAAGGCCTCTTTTGAGCTTTAAAATAAAGAAGCCACAAAAACATTCAAACAGGTCAAAAATCTTTTCCGTTTCTATAATTCTTAATAAGCCTATAATATCATGTAATCCAAACAAATACAGGAGAAATGGGGATGATTTCTTTTAACAGATATAATGTTTAGTAAGGTCAAGTTTCAAATGTATTGGTGTTTTTTATCTGATGATGTTGACTAAATAGATAGAGGAAAAAGACAGATTTCAACTGTTTTGATCATCTTTATTAGATCATGTTGACGAAATAGATGGATGAGAAAGTTACTGGTATCGTCGCATGGCTAATCGAGCAATACGACAAAAACAAAACATGACGTAAGTTAAACAACAAACAGCTGCCCGTGAGTCAGGCTGACTTAAGTCACGGTATGACTTGAACACTGGTGAGGTGTTTGGACAAGGCAGAAATTTAACAGTAAAAAGACGTGACCTTGTCCTTGGCTAATTCTTTGAGGTGGTCGCCCTCAGCGTCACTGATGACGTTGTAGATGACGGAAACAAACGGGGCAACAGACAGGATCTCTTCTTTAAACCTGTAGTAGGGCAGTAGAGTCTCTCTGTACCGGCACACAAGTCTCGGGTTGTTCGGGTCCTGGGTCACGTGACAGATACACAAACATCTTTAAGATAATTAGATGACAGGCCAACACATAACACGTGACAGATACACAAACATCTTTAAGATAATTAGATGACAGGCCAACACATAACACGTGACAGATACACAAACATCTTTAAGATAATTAGATGACAGGTTAACACATAACACGTGACAGATACACAAACATCTTTAAGATAATTAGATGACAGGCCAACACATAACACGTGACAGATACACAAACATCTTTAAGATAATTAGATGACAGGCCAACACATAACACGTGACAGATACACAAACATCTTTCAGATAATTAGATGACAGGCCAACACATAACACGTGACAGATACACAAACATCTTTAAGATAATTAGATGTCATGTTAACACATAATACGTGACAGATACACAAACATCTTTAAGATAATTAGATGACAGGCCAACACATAACACGTGACAGATACACAAACATCTTTAAGATAATTAGATGACAGGCCAACACATAACACGTGACAGATACACAAATATCTTTAAGATAATTAGATGACAGGCCAACACATAACACGTGACAGATACACAAACATCTTTAAGATAATTAGATGACAGGTTAACACATAATACGTGACAGATACACAAACATCTTTAAGATAATTAGATGACAGGTCAACACATAACACGTGACAGATACACAAACATCTTTAAGATATTTAGATGACAGGCTAACACATAACACGTGACAGATACACACATATTTTTAAGATAATTAGATGACACATAGGCCAACACATAACATGTGACAGATACACAAACATCTTTAAGATAATTAGATGACAGGCCAACACATAACACGTGACAGATACACAAACATCTTTAAGATAATTAGATGACAGGCCAACACATAACACGTGACAGATACACAAACATCTTTAAGATAATTAGATGACACATAGACCAACACATAACACGTGACAGATACACAAACATCTTTAAGATAATTAGATGACAGGCCAACACATAACACGTGACAGATACACAAACATCTTTAAGATAATTAGGTGACAGGCCAACACATAACACGTGACAGATACCAAACATCTTTAAGATAATTAGATGACACATAGACCAACACATAACACGTGACAGATACACAAACATCTTTAAGATAATTAGATGACAGGTTAACACATTACACGTGACAGATACACAAACATCTTTAAGATAATTAGATGACAGGCCAACACATAATACGTGACAGATACACAAACATCTTTAAGATAATTAGATGACAGGTTAACACATTACACGTGACAGATACACAAACATCTTTAAGATAATTAGATGACAGGCCAACACATAATACGTGACAGATACACAAACATCTTTAAGATAATTAGATGACAGGTTAACACATAACACCTGCCAGATACACAAACATCTTTAAGATAATTAGATGACACATAGACCAACACATAACACGTGACAGATACACAAACATCTTTAAGATAATTAGATGACAGGTTAACACATAACACGTGACAGATACACAAACATCTTTAAGATAATTAGATGACAGGTTAACACATAACACGTGCCAGATACACAAACATCTTTAAGATAATTAGATGACACATAGACCAACACATAACACGTGACAGATACACAAACATCTTTAAGATAATTAGATGACAGGTTAACACATAACACGTGACAGATACACAAACATCTTTAAGATAATTAGATGACAGGTTAACACATAACACGTGACAGATACACAAACATCTTTAAAATACTTAGATGACAGGCCAACACATTACACGTGACAGAACACAAACATCTTTAAGATAATTAGATGACACATAGGCCAACACATAACACGTGACGGATACACAAATATCTTTAAGATAATTAGATGACAGGCCAACACATAACACTTGACGTTTTTTTCATGATAGATACACGACAATCTTTAACAGGTTATTACAACATTCACTCATTTCACAACAATAGCAGTCACTACGTACAAACAACATTCACCCCTTTCTTCCTGTGCTCTCATTCTCGACACATTTCAATACACTTCAGATGACAAGGTACCTTACAACACACTTCAGATGACAAGGTACCTTACAACACACTTCAGATGACAAGGTACCTTACAACACACTTCAGATGACAAGGTACCTTACAACACACTTCAGATGACAAGGTACCTTACAACACACTTCACCAAATACTGGACATTACCGAGATGGTCACAAATATACAACACGAGCACCTGCATGTCTAGACTACAAAAAATATGAGTAAACATCCAACCTTGAATAACCAAAGCATACAGAAAAGGAAAACTGGTCCTTACAGGTATGTGGTTCTGGTTCTCTAGACTACAGAGGCGGCTATAGTTCTGGGATGTTTCATCAGGTGTGTACTCATTTACGTCTTCATAAATTAGTTCCCGGCCCAAGTTAATGACTTCCTTATTATTAGGTTCTTTAGAATAACGTAGAGAATGTGTTAGGACTTTGTTTCCATCGAGACTAGTTTCTTACGAATTAGTCTTAAGTAAAATTTGTACAGCCGATGTTCTTGTGGGTAGTTCTATGAATGTGAAAATGTTACCTAACAGGAGGACATCCTTGTAGATTTGTTCAGCTCTGGCTAGGTCGCCCAACTGTAGAACATGTTACATCAAGACAAGTCAACATTGTGATGGTAATGAGAAAATCGGTACATAATTTCAGAACCAAAAACCACGTAATACCACAACGCCCACATAGAGTTGGTAGTAAAAATATCAATTGATGTAATTTAACACTGTAAAATGTACACAAGTCGCACTTTGTTGTCAAATCTTATGGTGTACTAACAGGAGACAGAGGTGAGAGTATCAACAAAGAATACAACCAGTGGCAAAACTACGGGGGTAAGATAGGGGGGGGGTCATATTTATCTCATTATGAGCTGAAGTATACATAGACAAAGTAAATAAAATATATTGTATTACTACCAGAGGCGAAACTACAAGGGAGGAGGGGTAGAGGAGGTCTTATTTACCTCATCCAGTGCTGCAGTACTGAAGTATACATAGACGAAAAGAAAATATATAGCCACTATCCTTACAGACTGATTTAACTGTTTTCTGCATATCTAGTGTGCAACCTAACCTTTCCGAATTTGAGGTGAGTGGGGGTAGGAAGGGAGGACGTTTTTTCATTAACATGAATAACTATATATAAACGGGAGGGGGCGGAAAATGGATACTTCTCTCCGGCCGCGAGATGGATCGCTACGCCTCTGCTTGTACGACTAGACCAAACAGCCGGCATGGGTATATTAGCCGACTGGTGCAACTGTAACTATACTGAGGGACTAGGAGCATGGGTATATTAGCCGACTGGTGCAGCTGTAACTATACTGAGGGACTAGGAGCATGGGTATATTAGCCGACTGGTGCAACTGTAACTATACTGAGGGACTAGGAGCATGGGTATATTAGCCGACTGGTGCAACTGTAACTATACTGAGGGACTAGGAGCATGGGTATATTAGCCGACTGGTGCAACTGTAACTATACTGAGGGACTAGGAGCATGGGTATATTAGCAGACTGGTGCAACTGTAACTATACTGAGGGACTAGGAGCATGGGTATATTAGCCGACTGGTGCAACTGTAACTATACTGAGGGACTAGGAGCATGGGTATATTAGCCGACTGGTGCAACTGTAACTATACTGAGGGACTAGGAGCATGGGTATATTAGCCGACTGGTGCAACTGTAACTATACTGAGGGACTAGGAGCATGGGTATATTAGCAGACTGGTGCAACTGTAACTATACTGAGGGACTAGGAGCATGGGTATATTAGCCGACTGGTGCAACTGTAACTATACTGAGGGACTAGGAGCATGGGTATATTAGCCGACTGGTGCAACTGTAACTATACTGAGGGACTAGGAGCATGGGTATATTAGCAGACTGCAACAGCTGTAACTATACTGAGGGACTAGGAGCATGGGTATATTAGCCGACTGGTGCAGCTGTAACTATATTGAAGGACTAGGAAGTATCGAATGGCTTATCCTTGTGTGGAGATTTTTGTAACGGGTTTATAGATTGTCATTTTCTAGTGTAGACAGGTCAGTAGTTAGGTATGTAGGAAACACTGCTGTGTAGTGGCCAGATAAATATATAAGAAGGGCAACCAAGTCTAAAGGTGATATCTTAAGTGGGAGTTAGAAATAGACTGAAAGTAAAATAAAAGTATTTATCAATCGATTTTGTTGACGCAGTTATCGTCTTGATGACAAAGAGAGACAGCGTTGGTAACTTGCCAGCAGACATCACGACTTACGTGTACGTAGGCGCGTCCCATCTTGGCGGTTATACCTGGGATTGTTTCTGTTGGTGTAACATCCGAACTGTTGTACAAAGTGAGTGAGACGTTAAACCAATCAGCACATTCAACAAATTTATAACCTGGTAATTAAAAGCAATTCTGATATTGGAATAATTACAACAACGTTCGTATTTTTATTATTAAATATCTTTAACCGGTAATTAAAAAACAATATTTATAAAATAATAAATTGAAATTAAGAGTTAAATATAAAACATAATGTTTCAAATTCTCTACATTTGCAACTTTTATACCGTTTATTTATAAAATACTAAATTTTCGAAATTTTTACAAGCTTAAAAGTATTTTTTACGGCCTTAAAAATTGAAAAAAATACGTGATTTTGTTAGATTAGGACAATGTTGATATGAGGATTCTCGTCAACACGTAGATGACAGCCAGTCTAAACAGTGTTACTAGATAGATAATAAGCCAAACCTCTACAGGCCATGGTCCCAATGTCGAAGGCATCTTGCGATGTGAGTGGTGGGCCTTGAAATCCCAAGTAATCTCCCTTTGCCATATCTAAGGCTTTCATTTTGTATATAGCCTATGGAAAACATTATTTTACTAACTTTTTAGGTCACAGTGTTTGTGGATAAAATGTGATCAGTTGAGGGGATGTGTGGTCAGTTGTGGGTGATGTGTGGTCAATTGTGGGTGAGTGGTGTGTGGTCAGTTGTGGGAGATGTGTGGTCAGTTGTGGGTGATGTGTGGTCATTTGTGGGTGATGTGTGGTCAGTTGTGGGGGATGTGTGGTCATTTGGGGCTGATGTGTGGCTGATGTGTGGTCAGTTGTGGGTGATGTGTGGTCAGTTGTGGGTGAGTGGTGTGTGGTCAGTTGTGGGAGATGTGTGGTCAGTTTTGGGTGATGTGTGGTCAGTTGTGGGTGATGTGTGGTCAGTTGTGGGGATGTGTGGTCAGTTGTGGGGATGTGAGGTCAGTTGTGGGGATGTGTGGTCAGTTGTGGGGATGTGTGGTCAGTTGTGGGTGATGTGTAGTCAGTTGTGGGGATGTGTGGTCAGTTGTGGGTGATGTGTGATCAGTTGTGGGTGATGTGTGGTCAGTTGTGGGGATGTGTGGTCAGTTGTGGGTGATGTGTGGTCAGTTGTGGGTGATGTGTGGTCAGTTGTGGGTGCTTTGTGGTTTATTGTGTGTGGTTTGTGGTCAGGTCCCATTATATAATATTGACAATTTTCAAATTGTGTGATTTCTTTCAAACATGCACGATAAGAAAAGGTTTAGGTTCAAATCTTTCATAAAATATAATCTTTAAATCCTATCAATAGTTTGTGATACTTAACCAAAGAGGCATTAAGTAACTGTTACAAATTTACCCGCCGAATGTTAACTTCCACTTCACAAGACTTGGCAGCAACACCACAGAATATATTCACAATGATGGGGTTACATCTAACACTAAAATATTATCTTATGTCTTGCACTGGGTTGATTAACTTAATTAAAATTTCATTAGGCTAGAAATTAGGTTTTATTGAGCGGTTAATGAGAACGAACGTATCTGTAAAGTTAGAAAGAAATGACTTTAGATCGAAATCAGCCAAGCTTTGTAGAAATCGATCAAAAACAAACAAAAAAGTTCAGAAAAAAAATGCAAATTAGCCGACAATACCTGAAGATTTACTAGTGATTTTTGTGCCCCTGTTAAGTCCTTCTGACAGGCTAAATAAATAGGTCCAGCCTCGCCTTCAGAGTTGATGAAGTTTTCTGTAAAATAAACCATTCACAAACACCATCAACCAAACCATTCACAAACACCATCAACCAAACCATTCACAAACACCATCAACCAAACCATTCACACACACCATCAACCATTTTACACCAAGCCCAGTCGGTAAAAATTGTCTCGTCGTAGTCATTGTGTGTACAGCAAACTTTGAATACTTATTCTTCTATTACAGTTATACAAATTAGCAGTACTTTCTACTTTAGTTTTCTCCATGTAGAATGATCATTTATTTAGATAAAACAAGCGTTGAAATAAACGCACCTAAATTGTCTTCTAGAACACTATAATCACTGGCGTATTTTTTTATCGTTAGGTACATGGAGTTTGGGTGGTACAGCTCAGAATCTTCTGGAGATGGATCACGATATCTGACCTCACGCAGTCGTTCAGAATAGAAACTGGGGAAGTAGAAGAACTGAATTTTTCATACAGTAAACATTCCAAACAGCATTTAGCAGAATGTTAAATCCCTATGATGAAAAGATAAATAGAACTGAATTTTTCATACAGTAAACATTCCAAACAGCATTTAGCAGAATGTTAAATCCCTATGATGAAACGATAAATAGAACTGAATTTTTCATACAGTAAACATTCCAAACAGCATTTTAACAGAATGTTAAATCCCTATAATGAAACGATAAATAGAACTGAATTTTTCATACAGTAAACATTCCAAACAGCATTTAACAGAATGTTAAATCCCTATAATGAAACGATAAATAGAACTGAATTTTTCATACAGTAAACATTCCAAACAGCATTTAACAGAATGTTAAATCCCTATAATGAAACAATAAATAGAACTGAATTTTTCATACAGTAAACATTCCAAACAGCATTTAACAGAATGTTAAATCCCTATAATGAAACGATAAATAGAACTGAATTTTTCATACAGTAAACATTCCAAACAGCATTTAACAGAATGTTAAATCCCTATAATGAAACGATAAATAGAACTGAATTTTTCATACAGTAAACATTCCAAACAGCATTTAACAGAATGTTAAATCCCTATAATGAAACGATAAATAGAACTGAACTTTTCATACAGTAAACATTCCAAACAGCATTTAACAGAATGTTAAATCCCTATAATGAAACGATAAATAGAACTGAACTTTTCATACAGTAAACATTCCAAACAGCATTTAACAGAATGTTAAATCCCTATAATGAAACAATAAATAGAACTGAATTTTTCATACAGTAAACATTCCAAACAGCATTTAACAGAATGTTAAATCCCTATAATGAAACGATAAATAGAACTGAATTTTTCATACAGTAAACATTCCAAACAGCATTTAACAGAATGTTAAATCCCTATAATGAAACGATAAATAGAACTGAATTTTTCATACAGTAAACATTCCAAACAGCATTTCACAGAATGTTAAATCCCTATAATGAAACGATAAATAGAACTGAATTTTTCATACAGTAAACATTCCAAACAGCATTTAACAGAATGTTAAATCCCTATGATGAAACGATAAATAGAACTGAATTTTTCATACAGTAAACATTCCAAACAGCATTTCACAGAATGTTAAATCCCTATAATGAAACGATAAATAGAACTAAATTTTTCATACAGTAAACATTCCAAACAGCATTTAACAGAATGTTAAATCCCTATAATGAAACGATAAATAGAACTGAATTTTTCATACAGTAAACATTCCAAACAGCATTTAACAGAATGTTAAATCCCTATAATGAAACAATAAATAGAACTGAATTTTTCATACAGTAAACATTCCAAAGAGCATTTAACAGAATGTTAAATCCCTATAATGAAACGATAAATAGAACTGAATTTTTCATACAGTAAACATTCCAAACAGCATTTAACAGAATGTTAAATCCCTATAATGAAACGATAAATAGACATTCAAAACAACATTTAACAGAATGTTAAATCCCTATGATGGAACAATTTTTCAATATATAGAAATAAGTTCAGATCTGTTAAAAAAGTTTTTGAATTTATTAACTTTTTACGCCAGATATTTTACCAAAGTACGCTACATCCTACTTTAGTAATTATCTTTAGCCAATGGTAATTTTAGCCTATGTAAACTTACTTGAACATCTTCTTTAGCAAATCATACTTCTGGTCTATAAATAGTTTTAATCCACCCAACATACGTTCCTCATCCATCACCATCCTCTGCACCTTATGAGATGATGTGAACACTTCTGATGACGTCAATGTCAGCAAGGCTGACAAGGTGAGAACTGTGACACTGACACAATACATGTCAGTATATGTCAGAAGTAGCTGCCGAGACAAGTTCAAATCAAATGAAACAGAGAATATGTAGGTCTACAGTTGACTGAAAAGTACCGAGCACATATAAGACTACTGTTGACTGAAAAGTATCTAGTACTTATAAGCCTACTGTTGACTGAAAAGTATCTAGTACTTATAAGCCTATTGCTGACTGGAGTTAGTGACTTAGTGTAGATTAGGCTGTCGTGATGTTTGCTAAAACTGACCCGCTAATTATTTACCCCGTGTGATCATTGGTCTACACTATATCTGTTTTAGATCATTAAAAACCGCCTGACACGTTCGTGTGATATCGATTAGATCGTCCGGCTATTTCTCTGATCCAATTCTCGAGGTTGTCACAGGTGTTATTCAGACACAGGGGAGAAGTGCTCTGAATTTTCATTTGAACTCTACCGATTGATGCCATTAAACACTACCCATAGACCTGATTTATCCACGCCTATGTAGATGTTTTTAGACGCAAGATTGCTGTATGTTTGAGCTTCGTCTCAAGTTAGTGCTCATGTTACAGTAGCAGTTTGGTTAGATGTAAATCTACTTACTCCACATAAGACAGACAGAAAGAGACATAGAAGACGGACGGACCGACGGACAGAGAGGCAGGCTAATACAGGAATTGCTAGACACACAATGTATTTTAAAGAAAATGAACTTTTATCTGACAACAAATGAGAGAACAAACACTTTTTGCTAGGACATCTCATTAGCCAGATTTTAAAGAGAGGACATTTTGTCAAGGACATTTCAATAGGTAGATTTTAGAGAGAGGACATTTCGTCAAGGTCATTTTACTAGCCATATTTTAGTGCAGTTCAAGTGTTTTCATTTGTTTTTCTCTTTTCTCAGTTCATTACATCGATTTTTTCTTTTGTTAGCTTAGTGTTTTAACTTAGCTTGTTAACCAACTCTAGTTATCGACTTGTTTCTTGTTATATAATGAGGAAGGGTATAAGCCACCAAGTCCCACTTACCTAACGGTAATACATTCACATCGTGTGTGGCTTAAATCAACGTCTAGGCTAGTCTAGACTACGAATAGATCGATTTCACCCTTAGCCGCCGATTCATCATTCAACTAAAATAAAACCTGTCGGTTTGGTTATGTACAAAGTTAGGTTTTAAAATCTAGACAGGGTGTGGGGTATTAAACATCATCAACAAATTCTTGTGTCGGAATAGTTTTTTAGCGGTACAATTTGTTGTTCTTTTGGTGATTACAAACGAAATATTAGAGTGTAATGATTAAAATTTCCCTACAAATGACAAAATCGCGTGGACTTGCGAGTTCAGACATTTTTTTTCTAGCAAGGGGGTCGGGAAGGAGGGGGTGGGAGCTTGAACTACCAGAGAAGGGGTGGACACTGAAATTAGTGTATATAATCTATGTAAATTCTATTTTTATTTGTCCGGAGGGTAGTGGTTGAGCTAAGGGTGGGGGGGGGGATGGAGATATGCATGAAAGTCACACTAGAGCTTGTAGTTTGTTACGACCTTTTCTTTTTTCCAATCTGCTGGGTTTTGTAACGTAAGGAGTTCGATCTCCCACGATTGGTCTCTATGTTTATCTCCACTAGTCGGTGAGTCCCACAGAGAACAGTTTATACATGATAAGAGAGAAGACAGGAAAGTATTTCAGAGAACATTGACACACTACACATTTTCTTCTTCACCCGTCATGGGTGTGAGCGGTGTGTTTAGTAGGCTAATTACTAATGACTGGGCGTGTTCTGTGTGTGAAGTAGGCTACTCACTGTGTATAAGACTGGGTGTGTTCGATGTGTGAAGTAGGCTACTTACTGTGTATAAGACTAAGCGTGTTCAATAAATATTGATTTACATAGAGCCACGAGGATGTAGGTTAAAAAAATATTTTTGTTCCAGTCCAGGTTTAATTAATAAATAGTTTCGTTAAATATTCGGTAAATAAAATATAATATTTCGTTAACTATTAATCGGATGCCGGTTTTTTTTTAATATTGTGTCATAATTGTGTTGATTGTTAACTATTAATTAGAGGTTTTTGTTTATATTGAGTCATAATCGTGTTTATTGTTACATCTGGCTAACAAGACAAGCATTGTAACACTCTCGTGCTCAACTAAATAAAGATGTGTTTTAATAGGTGAGGTAACCAATTCATGTGAAAATTACATCATAATTCACCAATTCACCATGTTAGTTTGTTACTATGAGACTTCATCTATGTTTTTCTTTTCGAGCGTTACTTCCCCTAATTTCCACGTTCTTTGTGACGTGGTATGATTTCACACATGTTCGCCACCGCTACATACACGTACACGTATGTATACACACACGACATACACATACACAAACAACAACAATTTAAATATATTAATCGACAGTGCATAACAAACAAAATTTAAAAAAATAAAAAACGAACAAATGTTATTTTATTTTTATTTAACAAGAGGAACATGTTCAAACCAGTCTCACATACATTTTAAAACAGATAAAAACATGAGAGCTGTGTGGACATCAGATTCGTCAGACAAGCAATGTAAATGTACATGGACCAATAAGGCAAAATGTAAGTAACATTCGAATTAAATTACAGGTAAGGCTGACATTCGTTACTTTCTACTTACTAGGACTTTATACGGTGTGTGATGAGAGGGGGGGGGGCAGATGGTGTGAAGTCACACTTTTGCACTATAACAAAAGCATAGTTAGAAAACGAATTTTAGCCGTTATTTCAAATAAGATTTCAGAGTTCAGATAAGATTTTCGAAAAATATCGTATTTTAAGAAAATTTCAACTGCGATTTTTAAGGGGGTGGGGGGTTGTATGCTGAGGTGTGATGTCATATTGGGGGGGGGGGAGGGGTTCTGGCGGTAAAAATCGTCAAAAAACGTGACGTCATATAAGGTTTATCCCTTAATCGTCGACTTACCATTACTTTTATTACATAAAGACAGTGTGTGTACATTGCCAATGCATTCGTTACACACTAATAAATAAGCGTGTAAAAAGCTAACCTAATTTTTCGTCACTTTCCATCCAGTTTAAAACTGTTAATATGTGCACGGTCTAGCGGTTTATGAACATACATCCACGCCACTTGGGGGGGGGGGGGGACTGATTTTAGCGTTTGTATGTTACGTAAACGACAGCTCGGTCTCAAATTAAAACTAAAATTTTACGGTGTAATGAACTATTTTCTGTTGACATACATCAAAAATTACATCACATGTAAGATATCTCAAGAAAAATATGAATATTTAAAACATCAGGAATGTTGATTTGTTTATGTTGAGCTAGTTGTTGTAACTGGGATAATCATTCCAGCCAGTGAGATAGTATTAGGTCATCAAATAAAATAATTGCATCATAGGTCACCCAAGAGACAAACAAATAGCGTCATAGTACGGGTTCAGTCAAAAAATGACATTCAAAATGTAGTCAGCTTGTAAAATGGAATTCACAAAACAATTAAATATATTTACATAATGCCTACAAAACTATACTATAGTAGTAAATATACCTGGAGGTTCTACCCTTAAAATGTTAATAGAACTATGGGTGAAAAAGTAATATCAATAAATATTTTTTTAATCTAAAATTTTGTTTTCTTATCAGATTAAACACTATAAATTGCATTTTTGAAAGACTCTTTTTTAACAATGTTTTTATAAAAAGTATTATAAATCTTACATTTAATTTTTATGTGTACATTCAAGCATACATTCAAGTGTTTTCCAATCTAGTAAAACAAAAAAAATGTTGTAATGAGGAAATAACATGTCAAGAGTAGCGTCACTTTGGGGGTGGTGGGGGGGGTGCAACACTGAGTTTACGCAGCAGGCGACACCCCCTTTGTGACGCCACAGCATATTACAATAAAAACAAATTAAATTAAATTAGAACACATATGCTTATAAATAATATCTATATAAGATAAACCTTGGCGAAAGACCATAACGTTTTGAAAAAAAAACTTCATATACCCTACTTTCTTAAATCCAAACCTCTAAAAAATATTTTATACATCATCTGTATTTCTGTTCTGGCGTGATTAAAGGTATTTGTTTGTCTTTTATTCTGTATGACACATTTAAAATTCTGCAGTTTTAGACTTTGTCAGGGAACATCTGCAGTCCTCAGCTGACTCGCTTGATGGTCCACCACCAACTTCCTATTTATAGCCTCTCTTGATGTCAGGTTCAATATCGAGCTGGGTGGCTTCAGGTGTCAGACCACACCTTCTTCTCAATGTGTTGCCGTAAGTCCAGATCCATTTATTGCAAACTGTAGGAGAGCAGATATTACGTTATTTGCTTTAACCTTTAGCCGCTCTGTCGCGTGTCTAAAATAGGATTATCTATAAAGCTGTTTAAACCAGCGTGAGTCGACTCAAGTCAACTCACTCAAGTTCTGCCCAATCCACATATTAAAGTCAACTTACTCCATTTCTGCCCAATACACACATAAAGTCAACTTACTCCATTTCTGGCCAATACACATATTATATTCAACTTACTCTACTTCTGCCCAATACACCTAAAGTCAACTTACTCCATTTCTGACCAAAGAGAACTGGACAACCAGCGTGATGGGTCATGTCGTCCCTCTGATGAGCTGGGTCATAATTGTACCACAACAAGGCCATGTTCTGTTGACACAATACAACTAACATTTGTCAAAGTCTCCCACTCATCAATACAAACATATAGGCTATAGCTAACGCATGGCTTATAGACGGATTTTATAATCGGGTCTACAACATTTTTACGAGTAGCAGTAAAGAAAAAATGTGTTTTATCAATGCTAAATTGAGAAAGTGTCGTTAAAAACTGGGAAAAATGTAAATAAGCAATACTAATAGGAAAGGTATGATCTAAAATGTGAAAAATTTCAGTCAACAAGACTATATTGAGAAGGTGTGATCTAAAATGTGATCTAAAATGTGAAAAATGTGAATCAACAACACAGTGTGATCTTACCTTGACCGGTGCCACAGCGATACCTGCCCGTGTGAAAACAGTTGACCCACCTCTCTGGACGTCACTTAACTGTCAGCAACGTGGGGAGACAAGAATTACTTACATAAGACATAGACCTAGGATAGACATAGACCTCGCATAGACATAGACATAGACATATACCTAGTTTAGACAAAGACATAGACCTAGCATACACATAGACCTAGCATACACATAGACCTAGCATAGACACAGACTTAGACCTAGCATACACACATACCTAGCATACACATAGACCTAGCATCCACATACACCAAGCATACACACATACCTAGCATACACATACTGCCAGCAACGTGGGGAGACAAGAATTACTTTCATAAGACATAGACCTAGCATAGACATAGACCTAGCATAGACATAGACCTAGCATAGACATAGACCTAGCATACACATAGACCTAGCATACACATAGACATATACTTAGCATAGAATAGCATAGAAATAGACCTAGCATAGACATAGACAAAGCATCAGTTACAAGAGATATGGTACTTAACTTGACATAAACCTACAACATACATCAGTTGGAGACAACAAATATGTTACATAATATTTTTTAAAAATCGGTTTTTGCGAGGAGATTTTTAATTGTTATTAATTTCACTTGATTTCCATAGCTTACTATTTGCAAAGTTAAGGACAGTCAATGCTAGGTGTTCGGGTTAAACTGTAATGAACTCACATAAATTAAAAACGTCGCGATTCTCTCCCCTGAGTCCTTTAGTTCTGGCTGTGTTGGAGGGATCTAAAAATAATTTTAAAGTTTTTAAATAGTTGACATAAAAGGCATGACAAAAGTGTGACGTTAAACACATGACAAATGACAAGTGTATGACATCATACGCATGGCATTAGAAACACCGAATGAATGATTGCAAACACAAAAATTATTTTTAAAAAAAAACAATTTAAATTATCATATTAAATATGTCTGACTCACGTCAATGAAAGAAATTTAAATATGTCTGACTCAAACTAAATTAAGGAAATTTAATAAATTGAAATCTGGCTGGCGTCAAATATAAAAAATTAAAAAATTTTAATGTCTAACTTACGTCGAATAAAAGAAATTTTAATGTCTAACTTACGTCGAACGGATCCATATGCACCTCATAGTGGCCGCCAAGCCCATAGTTGACCACCTGCAACAAACAGATTTTAAAGTTTTAAACTCTGATGGTTCAAAGTACAAAATATAATAGCATCCAGCTTATAGTGGCCGCCAAGCCCATAGTTGACCACCTGTAACAAAGTTTCAAAGTTTTAAACTCTGATGGTTCATAGAACAAAATATAATAGCATGCAGCTTATAGTTGACCACCTGCAACAAACAGGTTTTAAAGTTTTAAAATCTGATGGTTCATAGAACAAAATATTATAGCATGCAGCTTATAGTTGACCACCTGCAACAAACAGGTTTTAAAGTTTTAAACTCTGATGGTTCATAGAACAAAATATAATAGACAGCAGCTTGAGACTGTGTTGCCCAAAGGCAGAGCACTTGACTGTCAACCTGAAGGTCTCGAGTTCGTTATAGTATACAGACATACATGTGACGAAGTTCTCTCAGAAGAGTATAACTGAAGCAAACGGAAGAAGTAGCTAGTGTAACGTTACAATCCCTCACCAAAAATACTCAGTGCTAAATACAAACTATGACAAACCTGGAACAGTGGCTCACTACAAAAGTCAAAATACAAACTATAACAAACCTGGGACAATGGCTCACTACAGAAGTGCTAACTAAGACATACTGTAACAATGGCTCACTACAAAAGTGCTAACTAAGACATACTGTAACAATAGCTCACTACAAAAGTCAGTGCTAGCTATGACATACCTGGAAAAACGGCTCACTACAAAAGTGCTAACTAAGACATACTGTAACAATGGCTCACTACAAAAGTGCTAACTAAGACATACTGTAACAATAGCTCACTACAAAAGTCAGTGCTAGCTATGACATACCTGTAACAACGGCTCACTACAAAAGTCAGTGCTAACTATGACATACCTGTAACAATGGCTCACTACAAAAGTCAGTGCTAACTATGACATACCTGGAAAAACGGCTCACCATAAAAGTCAGTGCTAACTATGACAAACCTGGAACAATGGCTCACTACAAAAGTCAGTGCTAACTATGACATACCTGTAACAATGGCTCACTACAAAAGTCAGTGCTAACTATGACATACCTGTAACAACGGCTCACTACAAAAGTCAGTGCTAACTATGACATACCTGTAACAATGGCTCACTACAAAAGTCAGTGCTAACTATGACATACCTGTAACAACGGCTCACTACAAAAGTCAGTGCTAACTATGACATACCTGTAACAACGGCTCACTACAAAAGTCAGAGCTAACTATGACATACCTGGAAGGCCTCCCCGGAAGATGGACCAAACGGTAGCCTCTGTGACGTGTCGAGGCCAGTGATGCATTCAATTCTTTTAGCTATAGACGTCGCCATCTTGGATTCGTTATCCCAAATCCAGGCCCTGGGAGAGAGAACAAAAGATCAGCTAAACTTTGTGGTAGAGAGAACAAAAGATCAGCTTAACTTTGTGGTAGAGAGAACAAAAGATCAGCTAAACTTTGTGGTAGAGAGAACAAAAGATCAGCTTAACTTTGTGGTAAAGAGAACAAAAGATCAGCTAAACTTTGTGGTAGAGAGAACAAAAGATCAGCTTACCTTTGTGGTAAAGAGAACAAAAGATCAGCTAAACTGTGTGGTAGAGAGAACAAAAGATCAGCTAAACTTTGTGGTAGAGAGAACAAAAGATCAGCTAAACTTTGTGGTAGAGAGAACAAAAGATCAGCTAAACTTTGTGGTAGAGAGAACAAAAGATCAGCTAAACTTTGTGATAGAGAGAACAAAAGATCAGCTAAACTTTGTGGTAGAGAGAACAAAAGATCAGCTAAACTTTGTGGTAGAGAGAACAAAAGATTATCTAAACTTTATCTGTAGATAGGACGTACAGCTTTTTCCATTGATGGTTGTCTATTGATGTAGGTTCAACAACTACTAGCTGCCTGTTAAATCTAGGCATGAGTAAACTCAAATTCACTGGGTCTATTCAGTCTAGGAGAGTACCCAGCATAAGTCGGCGATTTGCAGTGAACAACACTAATTTATGACGTGAGCATCTTGCAATTTAGGTTGTTTCAAAATGAAAAAGTACATTCGCGCTTTCAGAGAATGTGATTGTGTTATTTTAAAACTGTATGAAGACATGTAACTCATAACTTTTAAAACCACAGTGTAAAGGGACGTAACTCACAACATTTGAAACTACAGTGTAAAAGGTATGTAACTCACAGATCGCTTGTTCTGATCTCTGAAACTATTGAGTGATCTCCTCCTACTTTGCCTCGTATAAGCTATTGGATAGAATAGAAGCTCTTGATTAAATAATATGTAGTCGACGAACTCGCGATTAATCTAATAAAACTATAGACAGACCTACGTGGAGACTAACCTAATAACTTTAGAAAAATTTCAATAGATATAAATACTGCAAGACTTATTTAATATCTTGATGGAAAATATATAGCTACATCTACTATAAGAAAAATCTAATATCTTTATAAACATATCTATAGATAGCCCGCATTTATGGCTATATTATATCCTTCGGCAAATAAATTAACTAATCACTTATTTGTTAACCTCCAATGCATCACAAGGAGCCATTTTTTCTTAACTCGTTCTTTATTCAGATAAAGAAAATCGTCCCCCCCCTACCTAATCAACAAATCCCATAAGGCATCAACATTCTAATGAGAGAAACACAAAAACCCCAGACTATTTTTTACTAAATAAAATACTCTCTTGAGCACAAAATAGTCATGTACAATCTATAATGTTGGTAGGCAAGTATTTATTTCTAAGGTACGCAACTGCTGTATATATTTATAAAAAGTCAATTTAAGCGGAGTTAAGCACCTTATATTTCCTTAGGTTTTATTTATATTTATAACTTAATAAATAGGTTTAAAATATAATAATAATTATTGTTTATTTATTTATGTGTGGGCTACATAATTTGTAGGATTAGTTGAGTTTGATACAAAAGTAATGAAACAACATAAAACTTTTAAAAACAAATGACCTTGTTTTTGACAAAACTCTTGAGGTGATCGCTCTCAACATCACTGATGACGTTGTAGATGACAGAAGCAAACGGTGCAACAGACAGGATCTCTTCTTTAAACCTGTAGTAGGGCAGTAGAGTCTCTCTGTACCGGCACACAAGTCTCGGGTTGTTCGGGTCCTGGGTCACGTGACAGATACACAAACATCTTTAAGATAATTAGATGACAGGCCAACACATAACACGTGACAGATACACAAACATCTTTAAGATAATAAGATGAAAAGCCAACACATAACACGTGACAGATACACAAACATCTTTAAGATAATTAGATGACAGGCCAACACATAACACGTGACAGATACACAAACATCTTTAAGATAATTAGATGACAGGCCAACACATAACACGTGACAGATACACAAACATCTTTAAGATAATAAGTTGACACATAGGCCAACACATAACACGTGACAGATACACAAACATCTTTAAGATAATTAGCTGACAGGCCAACACATAACACGTGACAGATACACAAACATCTTTAAGATAATTAGATGACAGGCCAACACATAACACGCGACAGATACACAAACATCTTTAAGATAATTAGGTGACAGGCCAACACATAACACGTGACAGATACACAAACATCTTTAAGATAATTAGATGACAGGCCAACACATAACACGTGACAGATACACAAACATCTTTAAGATAATTAGATGACACATAGGCCAACACATAACACGTGACAGATACACAAACATCTTTATGATAATTAGATGACAAATAGGCCTACACATAACACGTGACAGATACACAAACATCTTTAAGATAATTAGATGACACATAGGCCTACACATAACACGTGACAGATACACAAACATCTTTAAGATAATTAGATGACACATAGACCAACACATAACACGTGACAGATACACAAACATCTTTAAGATAATTAGATGACAGGCCAACACATAACACGTGACAGATACACAAACATCTTTAAGATAATTAGATGACAGGCCAACAAATAACACGTGACAGATACACAAACATCTTCAAGATAATAAGTTGACACATAGGCCAACACATAACACGTGACAGATACACAAACATCTTTAAGATAATTAGATGACAGGCCAACACATAACACGTGACAGATACACAAACATCTTTAAGATAATTAGATGACAGGCCAACACATTACACGTGACAGATACACAAACATCTTTAAAATAATTAGATGACAGGCCAACACATAACACGTGACAGATACACAAACATCTCTAAGATAATTAGATGACAGGCCAACACATAACACGTGACAGATACACAAACATCTTTAAGATAATTAGATGACACATATGCCTACACATAACGCGTGACAGATACACAAACATCTTTAAGATAATTAGATCACAGGCCAACACATAACACGTGACAGATACACAAACATCTTTAAGATAATTAGATGACAGGCCAACACATAACACGTGACAGATACACAAACATCTTTAAGATAATAAGTTGACACATAGGCCAACACATAACACGTGACAGATACACAAACATCTTTAAGATAATTAGCTGACAGGCCAACACATAACACGTGACAGATACACAAACATCTTTAAGATAATTAGATGACAGGCCAACACATAACACGCGACAGATACACAAACATCTTTAAGATAATTAGGTGACAGGCCAACACATAACACGTGACAGATACACAAACATCTTTAAGATAATTAGATGACAGGCCAACACATAACACGTGACAGATACACAAACATCTTTATGATAATTAGATGACAAATAGGCCTACACATAACACGTGACAGATACACAAACATCTTTAAGATAATTAGATGACACATAGGCCTACACATAACACGTGACAGATACACAAACATCTTTAAGATAATTAGATGACACATAGGCCAACACATAACACGTGACAGATACACAAACATCTTTAAGATAATTAGATGACAGGCCAACACATAACACGTGACAGATACACAAACATCTTTAAGATAATTAGATGACAGGCCAACACATAACACGTGACAGATACACAAACATCTTCAAGATAATAAGTTGACACATAGGCCAACACATAACACGTGACAGATACACAAACATCTTTAAGATAATTAGATGACAGGCCAACACATAACACGTGACAGATACACAAACATCTTTAAGATAATTAGATGACAGGCCAACACATTACACGTGACAGATACACAAACATCTTTAAAATAATTAGATGACAGGCCAACACATAACACGTGACAGATACACAAACATTTTTAAGATAATTAGATGACAGGCCAACACATAACACGTGACAGATACACAAACATCTTTAAGATAATTAGATGACACATATGCCTACACATAACGCGTGACAGATACACAAATATCTTTAAGATAATTAGATCACAGGCCAACACATAACACGTGACAGATACACAAACATCTTTAAGATAATTAGATGACAGGCCAACACATAACACATGACAGATACACAAACATCTTTAAGATAATTAGATGACAGGCCAACACATAACACGTGACAGATACACAAACATCTTTAAGATAATTAGATGACAGGCCAACACATAACACGTGACAGATACACAAACATCTTTAAGATAATTAGATGACAGGCCAACACATAACAAGTGACAGATACACAAACGTCTTTAAGATAATTAGATGACACATAGGCCTACACATAACACGTGACAGATACACAAACATCTTTAAGATAATTAGATGACAGGCCAACACATAACACGTGACAGATACACAAACATCTTTAAGATAATTAGATGACAGGCCAACACATAACACGTGACAGATACACAAACATCTTTAAGATAATTAGATGACAGGCCAACACATAACACGTGACAGATACACAAACATCTTTAAGATAATTAGGTGACAGGCCAACACATAACACGTGACAGATACACAAACATCTTTAAGATAATTAGATGACAGGCCAACACATAACACGTGACAGATACACAAACATCTTTAAGATAATTAGATGACAGGCCAACACATAACAGGTGACAGATACACAAACATCTTTAAGATAATTAGATGACAGGCCAACACATAACACGTGACAGATACACAAACATCTTTAAGATAATTAGATGACAGACCAACACATAACACGTGACAGATACACAAACATCTTTAAGATAATTAGGTGACAAATAGGCCTACACATAACCCGTGACAGATACACAAACATCTTTAAGATAATTAGATGACAGGCCAACACATAACACGTGACAGATACACAAACATCTTTAAGATAATAAGTTGACACATAGGCCAACACATAACGCGTGACAGATACACAAACATCTTTAAGATAATTAGATGACAGGCCAACACATAACACGTGACAGATACACAAACATCTTTAAGATAATTAGGTGACAGGCCAACACATAACACGTGACAGATACACAAATATCTTTAAGATAATTAGATGACAGGCGAACACATAACACGTGACAGATACACAAACATCTTTAAGATAATTAGATGACAGGCCAACACATAACACGTGACAGATACACAAACATCTTTAAGATAATTAGATGACAGGCCAACACATAACACGTGACAAATACACAAACATCTTTAAGATAATTAGATGACAGACCAACACATAACACGTGACAGATACACAAACATCTTTAAGATAATTAGGTGACAAATAGGCCTACACATAACACGTGACAGATACACAAACATCTTTAAGATAATTAGATGACAGGCCAACACATAACACGTGACAGATACACAAACATCTTTAAGATAATTAGATGACAGGCCAACACATAACACGTGACAGATACACAAACATCTTTAAGATAATTAGATAACAGGCCAACACATAACACGTGACAGATACACAAACATCTTTAAGATAATTAGATGATACATAGGCCTACACATAACACGTGACAGATACACAAACATCTTTAAGATAATTAGATGACAGGCCAACACATAACACGTGACAGATACACAAACATCTTTAAGATAATTAGATGACACATAGGCCAACACATAACACGTGACAGATACACAAACATCTTTAAGATAATTAGATGACAGGCCAACACATAACACGTGACAGATACACAAACATCTTTAAGATAATTAGATGACAGGCCAACACATAACACGTGACAGATACACACACATCTTTAAGATAATTAGATGACACATAGGCCAACACATAACACGTGACAGATACACAAACATCTTTATGATAATTAGATGACAAATAGGCCTACACATAACACGTGACAGATACACAAACATCTTTAAGATAATTAGATGACACATAGGCCTACACATAACACGTGACAGATACACAAACATCTTTAAGATAATTAGATGACACATAGGCCAACACATAACACGTGACAGATACACAAACATCTTTAAGATAATTAGATGACAGGCCGACACATAACACGTGACAGATACACAAACATCTTTAAGATAATTAGATGACAGGCCAACACATAACACGTGACAGATACACAAACATCTTCAAGATAATAAGTTGACACATAGGCCAACACATAACACGTGACAGATACACAAACATCTTTAAGATAATTAGATGACAGGCCAACACATAACACGAGACAGATACACAAACATCTTTAAGATAATTAGATGACAGGCCAACACATAACACGTGACAGATACACAAACATCTTTAAGATAATTAGATGACAGGCCAACACATAACAAGTGACAGATACACAAACATCTTTAAGATAATTAGATGACACATAGGCCTACACATAACACGTGACAGATACACAAACATCTTTAAGATAATTAGATGACAGGCCAACACATAACACGTGACAGATACACAAACATCTTTAAGATAATTAGGTGACAGGCCAACACATAACACGTGACAGATACACAAACATCTTTAAGATAATTAGATGACAGGCCAACACATAACACGTGACAGATACACAAACATCTTTAAGATAATTAGATGACAGGCCAACACATAACACGTGACAGATACACAAACATCTTTAAGATAATTAGATGACAGGCCAACACATAACACGTGACAGATACACAAACAT